TAAGGTCTTTATTTGCTATTTTGGTTTCTTTTACAGCAGTAGATGGTTAACCATCCTCCTTCACTGTTCATTAACTGAACTAACAGGGAGCCAGCAGTAATTAGGATCTAGATAAACCATCACAAAGTTTGATTGGGGCAATCTGTGGAGAGATTATTAATGTTTGTATGTTGTTGTGTTTGTTTTCTATTTAAATAAACATTTAATAATCAAGGAAATCCCCAGTTATAATACATGTTTAAAAATGTTATTAAATTAATCACACAGTTATCATGCTAAATAATCAGGGCAATATTGAATGAGACAACTGTAATTAAGATTTTTGCCATAACTGAGCAGCCTCAGAGGTGGGCGGGGCTTCTGTGCTCATGACCATACAAGGATATGCAGTTTCAGTGACATCATATCAGAATCAGAATCAGAATCAGAATGGGGTTTATTGCCAAATGTTGAGCAGGTTTACAACATTAGGAAATTGCTGCGGTGCTTCAGTGCAAACATGGTGTCATAAATAGCACTTAAATAGACATGGAAAAAATAAAAGTAGGGATAAGAATTAAAAGTGCTACGTGGAAAGATATGTGCATGAGATATACATGAGATATATACATGAGAGTAAGAATTAAGAGTGCTACGTAGAAAGATATATACATGAGTGCAGGTGGTGATCAGTGCCAATCATGGAATGATGCAGTGACACAGCGTAGGGTCATGTGTTAGTGGTGGGAACAGTCATATGGTTATTGTTCATGTGTCCAACAGCAGAGGGGAAGAAACTGTTCTTATGGCGAGAGGTTCTGGTGCGGATGGACCGGAGCCTCCTGCCTGAGGGGAGGCAGGTCAAATGAGTCCACAGAGGTGATGGGGGTGTCAGTCAGGATGATGGGGGGGGAGTGGGGCTGTGTGCTTCCTGAAGTCCACAATAATCTCCACTGTCTTCTGGGCATTCAGCACCAGGTTGTTGTGGCTGCACCAGGACACCAGACGTTCAACCTCCCTCCTGTAGGCAGACTCGTCCCCGTCCGAGATGAGTCCAATAACGGTGGTGTCATCTGCAAACTTGATTAGCTTGACAGACTGGTGGGTGGAGGTGCAGCAGTTGGTGTACAGGGAGAAGAGCAGAGGAGAAAGAAAACAGCCCTGAGGGGAGCCGGTGCTGACCCAAGAGTATAAAAAGTTGTCTCATCCTGCTTGTTTATGATTAGTTATTCATTATTTGAAACTCTGGCCATGTTTAAGCTATTATACCAGTATACATAAACCACAGCAAACAAGGTAAAGCATAATAGGCTCCTGCTAAATGAAATGATTTAAAAACTACAGATAATGAGTCTAAAAATTTAATAAAAAGGTTTGAACTTGGATTCTAGAGATTTCTTTTGCTCACATTGGGTAAGCTGTTGTGTGTTCATATCATGTAGAGGATGGAAAATTCATTTGATAAAATAAAAGTTAAAAAAAAAAATCGGGCAGAAAGACGCAAAGGAAATCTGAATCAACTGCAACAAAATGAATCAGTGAAAAAACAAGTACCTACTTCCTTCTTTGTTTTTTTTAAGATTTCAGATGGATGCAGAAGATTTTCAGAAAACCATTTGGATCCCGGCCTTTTCCAGTTCGGGAATAACTGATCTAGTCAAATATCATATCTCTGAATTACCCCCCAATTCTTAAAAATGTGGAACTTCCATGTGGGAGCGCCTACTGATACCTGACCCCACAGGATATTAACTTATTCATGGTCAGCTGAAACGGGTAAGTGAAGACCCAACTGCTGACATCCATCCATGCATTACTCAAGCACAACGCTACCACTGTCAGAGCAAAGTGTATTAGATCATCCGTACCATCAAGACAAACCCAAAGATGTTCCAAATAAATATGACAGCCTAACAGAATCAAGCATAATCCAGTTATCTAAATGACAAAACCATTCACCCAACAAGAACTGGGAGCCTTTCTTCACATTTTCACCTTTTTTGCAGCTCCATAGTGTATTTATTTCCAGTCTCAAAGGGACATGACATTCAATAAATCAAGTGATATTCCTGCAGTGATGTAAAGGTTTTACAAAACATTTGACGGCAGCTCATAATCGGACTAATTATGGAAGAATCAGAAACTGCCGGGAAAACAGCGCACAGTGAGCCTACAGTCTGAAAGCATGATTTGAATTAAAGATGAGCTGCTTTAGCTGTCCAGTGTCAGCGTCCTGGGGGCTGGGGTGGGATTAGCCTTGTGTGTTTTTTGAATGAGACACACAGAACCACTGGTCAGCATGACATTTTCCCGACAGAAACGCCATTCACACACTGAAAAGGTGGATGTGTGCAGGCGTGGGTGTAGAGATAAAGCTTCCTCCGGCCTGACTGCTACATCTCATTTCCCTGGTTGGCCGTCCAGAATCGGTCCATCACTCTTTATTTGTCGTCCTCCTCTCCGTTTAAACTCAAGCTTATTAAACTTCACTTTGTCGTAAACCAAATGAAAAACGCCACTCTTGATTGATCACTATAAATGGGGAGGCTATGTAGTGCTGCTACTGTTTGTACTGTTACTGTAAGTATCACACTTGGTGGTGGAGCTGAAGATAGAACTGCACTCAAACTGGACTTCCTCGTTTTCTAATTCATACAAACACACATGAATGTGCCATTCATTTCAGCTGCTATACAGCAGATTTTAAAATGAAAAAGCATAGAAAACATAGGAAAAGCAGAATTGGTTCTATTGCTGCTACCAGCAAAAGAAGTACTTTTTACACATAAATAACATTTTCAACATAACAAACCAGATTTAGGCTCAATTGGAGCTATACTTGTGCATCATTTTGGCCAAGATACCAATTTTATGGGCCACTTTATGTCTTTAAGCCTTTCATTATTTCATATATTTTGTCTCCAGAAAGTAACGACATCTTAGATGGTGATTTGAGCTGGCTCTACGAATAAAACCTAGGAGCAAACAGCAGCCTCCAGGACAGAAGTAAGGCATGATGAGTCACGGGTGCAACACTTACAAGGTCGTGCAGGTCTGGGCCAAGTATCACAGTACTGTCCTGAGGCATTTGAGGGAGAACATTTGGAGTAAAGGACCTGAGATGCGGTGTAATGAAATTTGGCACTCCGCTGTAGCAGCTTTTGTCATCAGAGGTGACTGTGCAAAATACACCAACTACACATGAACCCTCCTAGCAGACTTAAGGGAGGTCTAACAGGAATGACCTGCCGCTTGCGTCTGAGGCTGAGGAAGATCCCTGCCTTAGGCATCCTCCCCAAAATAAATGCATTTGTAGAACAAGACTTGCAGGGAGTTGCCACAACTTAGAAGAGGGTGGCAGCCACGTTTAATTTGACGACATATTTACCAGCATAGTTTAATTTTTTTCATTATGTGAGTGTCTTTAGGTCTACCTCAGACACACAGGCTTCCCCTGGGTATACTGACATAACCCCAGTTTCATACACTACCGTCTTTACTGCAGTGAGCACATTCCCCAGATTCTTTAGCTGTAACCATCGCCAGTATTTAAAGTAATCAATTACTACCTCCACACAGCTCAGCGGTGAACACAAATACACATCTTCTCTCAATAACCATCTATTCTCCGATACACAACCAGCAATTTTATACAGAGGTCGCAAACATTTTCCTCAGGGGACACGTCCCCGCTGTAGTTGTAATTACTGTTGGCATGTGGGAAACCGCCACACAGCAGCCAGCGCCCCCTTTTCGAGTCCAGTTTAAGACACCACAGGTCCCAAACTCTCTCGCAGCGCTCTGTGGGCCACATTGTGCATCCTCTTCTCACTCCACACACACTTCCATGAGGAATGAGGGCTTGTGTTAAAGGCCTGTTATGGAAACGTGAAGGGTCATGCATTGCTGGAGAATGTGCAAGCTCCTCATCTCTCACACACACACACTTTAAGTGGGCAGACAAGAAGAATAGCTCTATTATGTTACAGTATGCTGAGTGTGGAACAAACCAGCTGTGTCTGCAGGACTGTCTGTGATACTGTGTGTGACTTTAGGAGTGCAGTAAGTCAAAGATCTGAAAAGCGACCTTGTTTATTAAGTTCCAGACATGATAAAGCTGAATGTTTATAGTTGTACTTCAATCCTGAGCTCAGCCCAACCCTAATTTATACAATCTGCAGGGAAAAGACTTGACTTGGGGGTGTGGTGGTCTCATCTGACACCATCTAATCACCACTATGCTGATTACAGTCCCACACTTATGTATTTTAAGAGTTGTTTTGCTGAAATAATCTCCCATATGCAGTGATTAAAATGGATACAATCCTTGAAATTATACATGTCTCTTCATTTTAATGACCTCCTGTAATATAATAAGCAACAAAGGACACCTGTTATGAAATCTAATGTAGGTTAAACCTGCTGCTAAAACTGTCAAAAAGGAATTAAGCCACAAATGGGAGGTTGTTATGCAAATATTCCGAAAACTTGCTTGTACACTGACAAAACCCCATTAACAATTCTGATGATTTTATGTTTTCAACTTCATAGCTCGAGCTAAAGGGACACTACAGGGACAGCTCAACGTGGTAAAATATAAAGTGGAAACTTGCTCCCGCTAACAAATTCAGCATAAAGAACAATTCACAGGATTGCAGGGTTTGAAAGTGTCTCTGCTCCTTTAAGCTAAAGGGACACAACAGGTGAATAAAATATAAAAGTGGTGGATAAACTTTGAAGGGCTACTTAGTTTTACTTTGGCTATATGCCGGATTTAAGTAAAGCTACGTAAGTGAAAAATCTGTTTGTTTATTTACTTCTTCATATGAGCATCTCTTAGAAATAAGGGAAATGTAGGTTTGAGAGATTTTTTTTAATGCAGTACGGAACGACGCCCATATCTGAATGAGACAGCTGGACTTTAAAGCTTCTCTAACACAGAACAACTTCTTTATAAGGAAAAGCAGCTTACAGGGAGTTTGTGTAGACAGTGTGTGTGTGTGTGTATTCTTAATCTTTACCTTTTTCTCTGTGATTTTTCCGGAGGGTTTTTTGAAGAAAGAGGTCCTGGCCGTGAAAAAGTACTCTTCGGAGTCCTCCTCCAAGCTACTGTAGCCACTGCTCATCGTGCTATTCCACGTCATTTGCGGGAAAAACTTCTCCACTGAGAACCGGCCACATCAAAAAACCACCCAAAAGAAAACAAATATCAGCTCTAAACAAACTCCAGCCTCAGTAAATGGCCAAACCTCCCTCTGTTTCTGTCCGCAGGCTTCGCTGTTCGACCAGCAATGAATGATTTCCTCTTTCAAATCCGCTCAACTCTCTCCCGTTCTTCCCTTCCTCTTCTCCTCCTCGCTTTACTCCACCGGCATAGTCAAAACAACTCAATCAAACCTCTCCATTTATAAACAGAAAATGAAGCTAGTAGCTGCTACGAAGCAGAAATGTCAGCAACTATAACTAATAGACCAATTACGAAAGTGCTAATGAAGAAATCCCACAAGTTCCACTCACACGCCGTCTGTTAAATGCATGAGTCTGTGTGACAGCGAGGCGAGGCTACAGTAAGACCACTCCCATTAGGTGCGATAACTCCAGCCAGCCAATCCCCTGCCTGACAATTAATAAAACCTCGCCCAATACAACAGGTTGGCCAATCAGCGCTCCGATGCCCAGTTTGAGTGGCGCGGAT